GGCTAAGGACTGGTTCTATGTTAATAAATAGAGTATATTAAGAGTTGAAGGATGACCCAACCCAAATAGGAGTAATTATCATTGATCTCATTAATGCATAAGGATGAGGATTTGATGCAGAACTAAGTATGTTTTAGATGAATGCGATAAGAACTTGCACGTTTTGAATAATAACACTTAATAATTATGAACGTTAGCCATTAAACGATAATAGAAAATTAAAGAGGGGTGGCTACGCTTAGGCCAAATCATATGCTAAGAACTAGAATCATCAAAGTAATTTAGAATTTCAGCAGAATGCAAATTAAGTAATTATTCAATAAAATTCCTAAGTTAACATTGAGATTAGAAATATAGAAAATCAAAACTCAAATCTTACGTTTACTAAGCCAAGACAGAAAGCTTGTCATGATTTCTTGTGCTTGAATCACTACCTACAAGAGCAGAGGATTAGAAAATAATTTGAATAGGGGAAAAAGTTCATCGTCGTCAAGAACCGGAAGTGATTTGCCACTGAACGTTGGCAAGCTGTTCTTTGATTGCTTCGGATAAGGTAAAGATGATTCGATCTAGGCATTCGTCGGCAGAAGTGTCAATCTCTGGGTTGACGTCAAAGAATGTCGATCGGAGAATATCGACGTTTTCTTGGTCGTTGTAGATGAATCCGGAGTCAAGATCGGGATCGGCCATTCATCGATTCCGTAGGGTTGACGTGATGGAGACAGCGGTCTTTGCTTCCCTTAAAGATTTCTCTTGAGAGAAAGAAGTTTCTCTCAATGGTTTAAGTGGAGAAGAGGGAGGGACTAGGGAGGTGGCCGGCCCAATGAAAGAGGATTGGGAAGAAAATAGGTTCAGATTTTGGGAGGTAGGATGGAAGAAATTTTGGGGATTTATTTCCTCTAATTAATTCTTGACTTTGGAAATAATTAAAGAGGAAAGGGATGAGAGGGGGGGGGGGGAGGGGAGGGGGGGGGGGGGGTAGGAGAGAGATTAGGTTTGAATTATTTCCAAGAGAGAAGTTTGACTTTTGGAAATAATTCCCAAAGGGGAACATGATGGGGCCGACGGCATAGAGGGGGAGGATTTGGAGAAATTAAACAAGGTTTAATGCTTTCTTAAATAGGGATCTCCAATTAGGATATAGGATCTAATTCCAATCCAAATCAAATTAAATTTGAATTTGATTTTGGAAACTTTCCTAAAATAGAATTCTATTTTAGGAAATGTTTCAAATTCAAATTTGATTTTGGAATAATTGAAATTGTCACCTTCCAAAAAGAGGACATATGGAAGAGGAAAGTAATAATGATATTTGTAAATTTGGGAGCAAGGTGAACAAGGGGGCGGTGGCTAGGCTAGGCTAGGGTTTGGTGGGGTGGTGGGAGTAAGTGGGTCACCCAATCAAGGGGAACCACTTAGGGTGGCTGGTGGCTAGGTGGAGGCGGGGGAAAGGGGAGTAGGCCGGTGGTGGGATGGGGAGGTAGCCGACGGTGAGGGCTTTGGGAAAGCTGACAGTTTGGGTGGGGTGATTCGTGGTATGGAAAGGGCGAGGGAAAAGGAGGAAGTAAAAAGATACGAAGAACTAGCCACGAGCCCGGACTCTTCTAAGGCTGGTGGGTGATTTGCTTCCCTCTCCAAGGGATTTCTCTCCCAAACTCTCTCAAGCTCTGACTAGAACTTAATGCACAGAAATTTCTTTATCATCCATTCATTAACCTTCAAAAGAAAACATAAGGGCTATATATAGCCTCATACAATGGACAGAAAAATAAAAAGACGACTTAGCCCTTTGGGCTTAAACATGACCTCCCTTAAGTAAGGGGTAGAAAGGGAAAAAAACAACTAAAATAAATACTAAACAAATAAATAAAAAACAAGAACATATGAGGACTTAAAAATATATCGGTGTGATCGTGGCCATAGATCGGCAACCTAACCTCTGATAAATTTTCCATGCTCCGATGTCCCCATCAGGATTACTCCATCGGATGCAGTAATCTATGCTTAATGATGATGATTATTGATCAATTGTGTATAGTCAAGTATTGACATTTAAAAATGGGCTTGGGGAAGGAATCAAAGCTTGTTTATTTTGATTTGGTTGGGGGTCAATATATTTGAGAAACATAGCATATTAAGGGTAGTCGGAATGAGTAGCTCCACTTTGGAATAATTCAATTGATTTCTATAATGCATAAAGATAAGTTGTTTTAATTTATGGAGTAATCTGTGGTTATGTTGGTCGTGCTGGATAATTCTTGCCCCTTTGACAAAGTAGTAGCTAGAGATAAAAATTATGTTATGAAAAGTAATTGAAATTGCTAGTTTAACTATTTTATATGAAATGGGATTGTTGTAACAATATAGAAGATTAATCAACAACAAGCGTTATATTGTTATTTTATTGTTTTAGCTTAAAAATTAAGTGATTATATGAAGGAATAGCCAAGGGTATTTCAATTGTTGATGAATTAGAGTGTATGCTTAGTTGTTGATTATTTGTAAATTCTACAAAGATTGCAATAAGATCAATATGTATATGATAGATAACATTCAAATATGAAAAGTTAATGCAGTAGTTGAAAAGAATGCTATTATGGCATAAATGATATTGTACCAGATGAATAGAGGATCCATAAAACCTCTAGCTATTTTGGTAGTGGTTTGAGTTAACTCTTGTATTAATATCATGAAATTGTAGGTCTTGCCTATGGCAGTAAGAAAGTAGTTTATAAAAGAAGTGCCACCAAATTAACTGCATATGTTGCAGTTAGATGACAAAATGAGAGTATCAATAAAGCCAAAGCCAAATAATTTGGAATAAAGCTTCATGACATTTGCTGCAAGTAACTCGTCATATTTATCAATCAGATTTCTTAATAATCTTTTTTCAAACTTATGTAATCTTTGTGGCCATTTTGTTCTCCAAATTGTGGCAGAGAAAATCATATTTAATAGTCTTTATGTGGTAGAGAAAATCATATTTAATTGTCTTAACATGTGAATCGAAAACCAAAATTTTCTGATCTAGGCTTTTTCTCCCTAACTTCTGTCTTTTTCTCCCTCTCCCTATGCCTCTCACATCCGGCTAAGCAGAAAAATGAGATGAAAAAAAAAAAATGACTAAAGACAATTAGGTTAATTGCCATTATTTCATCTTGTAACAAAAACTTAAGTTGCATAGAAATAAATGCCTATATTGATATAGTTTTCTTAAAATTATGAAAAAAATATGATAAAATACACACAGAGTTAGGAACACAATGACGGAACTTTCTTAGAAAGGCACATGATGACTTCAGAAAGGATAATCATGTCCATAGATATCTATGGATCGTATTGCAGTTCAACAGATTCAACCTTAGTCCTTTGACCTTATCATTTGATTGCGGGTCGTATGCATCATTTAACATTGTATATGCAATCCCTATATTATATCCATGATCATTGAGCAGTTTTGCTAGAATAACACTAGGGCATGCTTACAAGAGCTTCATATTAATCAGACAAATACACATGTAAACTTGGCTTCACCACAAAATTCATATGTGCTTGCAAAAACGACATTCATATCAAATAGGTTGGGACAATTTTAATTAACTTCATTTTTTTGGGCTAAATCAAGTTGGTATTGATGCGGATTTTACTATATCATGCCTTGAGGTATTCCATCAGCATTAAGAGACCATAATTGGAAGGTACTTTGTTTGCTATCAAATTTAAGCCATTTATTTTTAAATGAAGGGGAGAATAATGAATTGTCCATCGGATGATATTATTTACTTCCAAACCACACTGGCCACCCACCATCCACCTCATTCCATTATACTTTCCAGCCACCAACCATCTCCCTCCAACAACCTCATTTCTTTAGGGACTTTACTTTTTACTAGTAGGGAAGAAAAAAAAGGGGTGGGGGGAAAAGAGGGGGGGGGGGGGGGGGGGGAATAAAGTCATGCTATGAATTCGAACATTTCATTACGGAAGCCATGTATATGATACCATCTTCAGATTGAAGGTGGGGTTGTTGCTACTTGTCATTCTCTAACTCAAATTCTAATAGAACATCTAAGCAATTTTCATAGCATGCATTAAATGTACCCTAGGAGAGGACCGAGCACATTCATTTATGATGGTTTGATAAACATTCTCCAATTACAATGCTATAGAATACAACCTAGAAATTCAAGGACTTCTCCAACACTCAAGTAGACATGCACCTGCATGGGCGGGCATTATTGGCTCGGCTAAGAATGCCTTTAACATTAACCACTTGTGTCCAAATAAAAAAAAAAGATACATGAGATGATGTTGCATCCAAAAATTCTGAATAAAAATATAGCCAATATCATTGCCTAAATGGATGATTCATCTCCTTGTCAATGCGACACATGAGAATCACATGGGAGCTTTCTTTTGCATAGGAATCTATTTTAGTTAATGGATATAAATAACATGTAAAATGAATATTTTACAATCATGCAAAATGGATTTCCTTTATATGAAGATTCCTAGAACTGCGAAGAATACGAACAAAGGAGTCTAACTCTTGGATTCTAAAGGAAATTTGTTTTCTCTTTATCTTTCCTTTGCTGCCTACACTTACCTCTCTTTTAATTGGCAAAGAATGTAAAATCCAAACATTAACAATATGATTTTTTTAGTTCTAAAATTGATCGATTCAAATTATAATTTAGTGTAGATTTAGAAAAAATGTTATATTCAGATTTATGTTGTCTCTTATTTGATTTTATGTTTAGTTTCATGAACTGGATGGGATGTAGATTATCGTGCATAGAATAGTGTAGTTTTAAATTTAGATTGCTTTCTTAAGGAGACAACATGATTTGAGAGTGTATGAAGTAATTTCATCTTGTGCAAAGAAGAAAATATAACAACTTGATTTCAATAATTTTTGAGAGTTCTGGCATTCACTATTCTAGGGCGTGTATGAAGTATTTCATGTTGTGCAAAGAAGAATAAAGCCTGCTGCACTGCAGGAAAATGTGCATTGGAAGGAAAGGTCGAGCATAAATTTGATATGGAACCTCATAGTGAAAATTTTGGGGAATACGGCAAACTTTGCCGTGAAAGGTCAAATAAAGCTATGATCAAAACCAGGCAAATTCAGGTGTGCTCAATAGGACTAATGAACAAGTCTTTGTGTAATTTAATCCTTTTGCATTAATCATATTCCATTTTTGTTTATCAAAATTGAGTAATGTTTTATATTGAAAGATAATTGACAAGGATCACGGTGTGCTTATGAGGCCCATGCCTGGCATGGTTGGCTTGGTTCCATCTGGCTCGAAGGTAATATCATTAAATATCAATTTCTTTTTTATTTGTTCAAAATATAAACAGGGGAAGGATTATTTGTCATGTAAAAATGAGACTAAATTTTTAATAGCCGTTTTAGAATCATTTCATAAGTCTATTTTGCCAGGTTACAAGATCATTGTTGAACCTATTATGCCCTATGCACCTAAGCTGAGCTTTGGCACTGGGGCTTTTAATTGGTTAGGTTATGATTGAGTATATCGTGGGTGAATCCCTTAGTTTGAACTTGAATTGGCTGAAAATTTGGGTCAGATTGGGTGGATCCTTCAAATATTCAGGGCGGAACTCCAATTTTTAATTACTTAGTGTGATAAAGGATTTGGTAAGAGTATATGATTTTTTTATTGGGTTCGTTTGCCAATGTATCGGGTTTACTCTCACCTGGATTCAATCTTGCAAAACTAAAGTAGGTCGGGTTAGATTAGGTTTTGGTGATCTATTAAGGAAGTTAGCCAATTATTTGCTTAATTGGATGAATCTTGATTCGTTGGTTGATGACAAGCTTTTTGGGCTTTATGGATACTTATGTCAATAGTGTTTGAACTTTCTTTGTTGCAACAGATCTGTCAGTTAGGTCCCGGCTTCTGTATTTGTCGTCTCTCTGTTGTGTTTAATCTTAATCCATTTGAGATTCAGAATGTACTTTAATATACATACGACCAGCTTAAGCTTAGTCCACTGAAAAATTTTCAGTGTTTGGAAGAGTCATTGATAATTCTTTGGTATTATAAATGAAATAGGAATGCGTATCTTGGTGAAACATATATTTCTGCTCATTGTCAAAACCTGAAGTTTTCTTCTTGCTGTACCAGGATAAGAAGAAGGTTGCACCAGTGAAGGGATCTGAGGTTAAACGAACGAGGAGGGACCGTAGAGAACTGGAAAACATAATTTTTAAACTTTTTGAAAGGCAGCCAAACTGGGCATTGAAGCAATTGGTTCTGGAAACAGACCAGCCTGAGGTATTTTCCTTCATTTGACATTTTAAATTTTGTATTTTGCAAGTTTTTGAACTTGTTTAGTATGTGTCTATGTGATCATCTCAATAGCTGGTGTTGTATAATTTATCTTGCATCATGGTGTGAGTTGTGGTAGAAAATTATCTTTCTATTAATTTGAATTCACTGTAAATGATAAAGATCATTTTTAGTAGGTAGACTAAGCTCCAAAATGGTTTGTTTGCTTTGCTACCTTCTACACCTTCAGGCTATATGTTTCAAAGGAAGGCTTATTTTAAAAATAAAAACTTTTCAGATCGTTTGTTTGCTTTGCTACCTTCTACACCTTCCACCCTTGCCTGCTAGAAGGCTGATACCTTATCATACAGGCATATCCGTTGAAATTATCATGTAAGCAAAATATTGTAGATGTTGTGTTATTGAAAGTTTTTTGAATCACCTCCTCAATTTAGTAATTAGGAAGGTTGATGAGTATCTTATTAACTTTTATTTGTGAACTAGTGGTTACACCATATTATTTACCTTCATTTCACATTGTTCACTTGTTGTTATGTTTTCTATTGTTAATTGACTTGCTCCGTGATACTACAACTCCAAAATTTTCGCTTTCAATTCTCTCTCAGTGATGACATCGTCATTGATAAAATAATGTTTGATTTGACTACTTTTTTCCTACTTATGATTATTAGGAGTCTTTAAAGTTGAATGCACGAGCTTCTTGAATATGCTCTTAAAGTGTGATTCCAATTCTGTCATATTCTTTTATTGCAGCAATTCCTTAAAGAGATACTAAATGATCTCTGCGTATACAACAAGCGTGGACCAAAGAGAGAGAGAGAGAGAGAGAGAGAGAGAGAGAGAGAGAGAGAGAGAGAGAGAGATGCAACTTTTGATCCTTCATAAAGAGTAAAAAGATCATTTTGATAATTTAACTTTTATATATATATATATATGTTAGCCTGAAAAATTTACAACTTGGTGCATCATTTCATAGGATGAAATGCAACTGGGCTGACGGTGGTTTATCTGGCTTGGCACAACTCATGCAACAAAGCAACCCAGGCTGTCATTGCTAATATCATGGTTGTTGATTTCTGATGCAGTGATCAGCAGTTAAAATACTTTTAGAGGTATGCTAATACTGAAAAGGCGGTAACTTGGAATATACATGAATTTTATTTTTCAAAGGAACGATTGGCTGAAAATTTCTATATTGGATATTTCTGTTTTGTCATTCTTAGTACTGATGAGCGAACATAGTAACATTCTGTGTAGCTACTGATATGTGGCAAAACCCTTGCAGCTTCTTTATTTGTATACATGAAAATGTCTTGGAATACGAAGGGGTTTACATCTGTTTTGTAAGGGTAGTATCTTGTTATTTGGACTAGTTACAGTGAGTTAATGCTTCCAAAGTTCCATAGGCTATGCTTTGAAGGAGTTGAATGAGAGGAAATGAAAATGACAAAGCAATTGAATTGAACTTGGTTTTCACTCTGGTTTGGTAGAGGGGAAATTGAGTGATTTTTTTTTCTTTTTTATTGTTTGGTTGAAAAAATTTGAGTTGTTTTGTTTACTATGAGGCTGGGAGCATAAGAGTCCCAATAATTATCTAAAGTTTTATTTATTTTCTATTTGACTTGGGTAGAAATTGTTGATGAAAGAAAAGCATTTGATAACTTGGAATTAAACGTAAACATTATGAAGTAATAGATATTTTCAATTTCTGCAACTTTGTTAGGAGTCTTCGAGACTTATGTTTTGTGTTTCGCTTTTGATTAGGTTTCATTTGGAACGAATTTTTGTTGCTTTTTAAAAGAAATTTCTAGCACTAAAAAAACCGTCCCAAATGAGGTCTAAGAAAACAACAGCCACAGTGTCCTGAATTGGTAAAAGGGAGCTCTCATCTAACAATTAAAAGGTTTATTTGTGAGTGACACTTTATTTGGGAGATTGCCAAGTTTTAATAGAACCCTAAAAAGATAAAGCTTGAAGATTTTGGCTTCATTTGAGACAACTTTTTTACTACTTTTTAAAACAATTTTTTAGTACAAAAATTTTAATTTTTCTACTAAAAATTGCTTCATAAAGCAGTAAGAAAGCCGTCCCAAATGAAGCCTATAGCTAGAGAGAAATAAGCTTGAAGAGAAATTTTGAGGATTTTATTGCTAGTTAGGTGAGTCGTTGACTTATTGGATGAAGTTGTCAACTTGTTTGATGAAGCCATTGACTTGTTGGACCTGCTGCTAGGTAGTTGATTTGCTGGGTGTAGTCACCATCCCTGTAACTATTTTGGAGAATGTCTCTTGACTAATTCTAGGTTCTTAAAGAGTGCATGACTATATCGGTATTCTTCTCATGAGCTGGTTAAGACTTGTTAGTGGCTTGGACTGGTTTGACTTTATTTGACAATTTTTTATAGCCCTGTACTAGACTAGCTAGTATAGATTGAGTCGTACTTTGTCAGATGTGAACAAACCTAAAATAAAAAAATTAAAAAAAAATCTAATTTGGATTGACCGGTCTATTTTGAATCTTAACTTTATTGATTAAGCTTTGATTAGTCAAAGAAAAATCTTAACTGAAAACTGAGATGCCCTAATCAACTAGGATGACCAATAAACGCTCTATTAAAGTCTCAAGAAGACACCCATCATTATTTAGTTTGGTTGGTGGGCGAGTACGGTTGGGAATCCCCAACCCGTGCTTGATTCCTCTCGAGTGGCAGCGCCTTTTAAGTGGGGCCCAATCAAGTGCGGGCCAATGGGGTGGGTGTCTCTTCTAGGTCAGTCTAGGATTAGTTATGTCGTTAAGCAATCTTTTGAAGGTGACAGTGGGTGGATACCCATTACCCTGTTCCCAATTTTTTTTTTTAAAAAAAGTTTCAAGAAGACGAGGACTTCCACAAATGTCATACTGTCGCATTCAAGTTGGGAAGATATTGACGACCTAATTTGTAGTGACACAATCAAATGGGGATGGCTGGCTCATCACAGCCCCTATTTAGTAAAAACAACAGTAACCAAACCAATGAATTTTATATGTAAGAAATAATTGAAACTCTCTCAAACCTATCTACAATTTTATCAGAACTGATCATTTTTTTAATAAAAAAATTAACTAATTCAACATGGACTTTTAACAAGGCTAGTCATTACAAAATTAACACAATTCAGCAAAGCTGTTAGGTGAGAGTTAATCATCAAGCAATATTTTACCTCATGAGAGGAAATGACAATAAAGCATTTCTGAAAGTTGGATATAAATCAAGATTATTCTTATTTAGATTTCATTGGGGACAACTTTTTTAATGCTTTTTAAAACAATTTTTAAATTTTTTTTTTTTAATTAGAGAATTTTGTGCTAAAAAGTTGTTTTAGAAAGCAATGAGGAAGTTATCTCAAATGAAGCCTTAGATGCACACTTTATCTCTCCAACTAGAAAAATTATTCTTTGCGGACTCCGAACAATATCCAGAGATCAATAGAAATGCACCACGCCACCTTTTTACTATACCGCGGCTTGGTACTGCTCGATACTCGGTACCGCGACATCCGGACGTAGAGTTGCGTCCGGCGTCCACACGGAATAATTTCTCCTCCAACTAATACCATCTATATATGTATTTTTCAATATGGTTGAACAATTGCTTATGGTGCTAATGAGGAGAGTGCATTCATTTATCAAGTTTTGCCATTCATTACACTCAGAAGATTACTTGCAGGTATATTCAATATGCATTTAATAACAAGTAGCTATGTTATTACATACACATGCATAGTATTATTAATTGAGTAGTTTGATTCAACTTTATTAATCTTGATAAGTTATGAGTCCATATATGAATGATATGCTGTATGCTATAGAAGAATTACAACATGAGATACTTAAGCTTGCAGTGCTCAGTGCTCTAATACTATTAAATAATAAAACAACCTTGGCTTACTATTTTAAAAACATAATATATCTTATAAGTGTTCTTACTAATATGATTTATTAAATTATGATTGTATTAGCGTAATAGATGTAATAAACATTAAAGCTAGAGTCCATAAAGAGCATGAGGATGCTTCTAGAAGAAGAAAATCATATCGAAGCAAGAATATGCTAGCAATAGCCGAGCCAATTACGACTTGGAGATTCATATATGTTCAAATTGGTTGGGTTGGTTCGACATATAATGCAATAATACTCCTTAATGCATTAGAATTACATAGTGATTTGTACGTTCTAGAAGATACAAAATCCTTTTAGTATATATAGTTCCCTTATTAGTTATGATATTTTAAAAAAAGTTACTAAATTAAATATTATATAATTGAAGTTGTTTATTTAGCCTCAGAAGATTTTATATCTCCACATTATATCACATGATATCATTGGAGGTGTTTTATGCCATATGATTTGCAAATTGCAAAGAGATATTTAATCTTTAAAATTCATCACTATGCTGCACAATGGTGTTTCCATTTGGTTCTTTGAAAAACCATTTTATAATTATAAAGTTTTGCTTCTTATTTTTCATTGAAATCTTATATTGGACTTATGTTTTTTTTTTTTTTTTTTTGATAAAACCCTCATACTGGGCCTACGCGTTAATATGAAAAGGGAGTTACAAATCCTTAGTGAATCAATAGCCATCTATAAATACAATATTTAAAGTAAAACCTACGAGCCTTTGATTCGATATATCACAATAAAACTCAAGAAAAGAAAACAAGGAAAAATACAAAGCCAACGAGCCAACAAAGCCCCACAAGAAGATGAAACAACAAATTGAGTCGAACAGCATCAGCCTCCCAAGTAAAACTCCCAACCAATTAGCATCAATCCAATGAGGATCAAACACAATAACCTGGAAGAAGCCTGCAAAGAACACAACAGGAAAAGGAGAAGAAACCTGAAGTTTCAAAGGAACAAACAACACCCACTTGCCAATGACAAAGAAGAAACTAGAGAAGGAAGATGTCACCATCCTAACCAAAACAAAAAAGGACAGCCAACAGCTCCACAACCAACAACAAAAAATACCACCAAAATAATGAACAGAATAATATGATCCAACATCAACAGAGGAGGACCAAACTATTTCCTTTTTAGCTTTCTCCTACAATGTTTGCCACCACTCAAAGCAAAAGCTTTTTCAATAATGCAGTTAACATTCAAATTATAATTCCCATGAACAGCATCCATGCCCATCCAATTCATCCACATCACCCTCACAGGGTGAAGAGTCAAAATTATCAAGCCAATCGTTTTGCTTCAGACAATTGTTTTACAACTTGCCCGCCAATTGGGCTTTCAAAACCTCATTAGAAATGAGAGAAACCAGAATGTCAATAAGCGGTTCAAACAGCGTCACAGGAGAGCCAAAAGTAGCGTCAACAGCATCAACAACCTCATCAACTAAAGTAGGTGATTATGTTGGCATTATGCTTATTTGTTGTATATTATATTATCAGGTTCTAATATAATATGATGTTAATATCATTCTTTCATAAAATAATTGGGGCTGACGAAGATGAAGAATTTTAAATGACTCTCAAGAGTAGTAAGAAAAAAAGAAATCAAATGGGTAATTCTATGTGGAATCGTTAGTTGATATTGTCATAGTACTCTATAATTGTATGGTATGTAGGACTTAATGTTGCATTAATCATTTTGATCTATAATGTATTAAAACTATGAACTCATTTCTTCATAGGGATTTTAGACTATAAAACTATTATGAATATTTTGTGTTTATATTCTCTAAATTATTTCATATATATATATTCTTAATGTCACTATTGATTTCATATTTATGAGTTTACTTAAAAAAAAAAAAAAATATT